ACGCACTTGCACCAGGAAATTAGTCCCCTACCACTTCCAAAAATTTCCTGGATTGTCTGTGCACCGCTGTATTGCTCTCCCAGCAGATATCAGGGTGATTAAAGTCTCCCATGAGAACCAGGCCCTGCAATCTAGCAACTTCTGCTAGTTGCCAGAAGTTGAAAGAGTAGGTCAGGACCCCAAAGTGGGTCACGACCCTGTTTTAATGGGGTCACCAGGGCTAGTGTTAGATTTGCTGGGGCCTGGGGCTGAAGCTGAAGGTCGAGCCCTACCGCCCAGGACTGAAGCCTGAGCCCCACCACCCAGGGCCAAAGCCCAAGGGCTTTAGCTGGGGGCGGTGGGGCTCAGGCTTCGGTCCCCCTTCCTGGGGTTGTGTAGTAATTTTTGTTGTCAGAAGAGAGTCACGGTGCAATGAAGTTTGAGAATCCCTGCACAGTTTTCCACCCTATGTGCTGGGTATAATTGGGGACAGTTCAGCAGTGAGTTACTAAGTGGAGAAGTGACTGGATTTCTGATACTAGTATTTGCCAAAATTTTGAACAGACGTGCAATTTTCTTTTGTAAACCACCTGCCTGTGAGACAATTCGGATAGGACTGACAGAATGGCCATACCGGGTCAGATCAAAGGTCCATCTAAGTATCGTGTCTTCTGACAGTGGCCAATGCCAGGTGCTCCTGAGGGAATGATTACCTGTTCTATTCATCAAGTGATCTATCCCGTCACCCATTCCCAGCTTTTGGCAAACAGAGGCTAGAGATATCATCCCTACCCATTCTGGCTAATAGCTATTGATGGACCTATCCTCCATGAACTTATCTAGTTCTTTTTAGAATCCTGTTAGTCTTGGCCTTCACAACCACATCATCCTCTGGCAAAAAGTCCCACAAATTGACTTTGCGTTGTGAGAAAAAACACTTCCTTTAGTTTATTTTAAACCTGCTACCTATTAATTCATTTGGTGACCCCTAGTTCTTGTGTTATGAGGAGTAAATAACACTTCCTTATTTAATTTCTCCAAACCAATCCTGCTTTTACAGACCTCTAGTCTATCCCCATCACTGTTTCCGTAACATATTTTGTTTTTTATGGGACTGGATTGTTAGCCCTGTGCCAAACCGGAGGACCAGGGTGTCTGTTTTCTCTGGCCCCTTCCCCACAGACCAATCCTGCATGGTTCAACCTACCAGGAGCAAAAAGCCCCTGCCGACACAGACTCTGGGGATTGTCAGTCATATTAATCTCTCCTCATAGGGAAGCCGTTCTATATCCATAATCATTTTTGTTGCCATTTTCTGAACCTTTTCCAATTCCAATATCTTTTCTGAGATGGGGCGACCACATCTGCATGCAATGTTCCAAGATGTGGGCGTACCATGGATTTATATAGAGGCGATATGATTTTTTGTCTTATCTATCCCTTTCTTAATGATTCCCAATATTCTGTTCGCTTTTTTGACTGCCGTTGCACACAGAGTTTTCAGAGAACTATCCACTATGACTCCAAGATATCTTCCTTGAGTGGTAACAGCAAATTTTGACCCCGTCATTTTATATGTATAGTTAGGACTATGTTTTCCAAAGTGCATTACTTTGCACTTATCAACATTGAATTATATCAGCCACTTTGTTCCTCAGTAACCCAGTTTTGAGAGACTTGGCTGGTATGGGACCAAATTTTCCCTTATGCAGCTTCTCATTTGAGTTAGAGCTACATGGAACATACTTTCTCACTAGTTGCTTAAACCATTAGCAAGCCTATGAACTAGTCCTCCCAATTTTCTGTTGGGGAGATGGTAGGTCTCACTACAAACTGATATATAAATATGGGCAATTAAGCCTATTTCCAGGGAATTGTTCATATCCGTGTTCTGCATGAGTCTTCCTATCCCAGGAGTTAAAATACACTACATCTCTACAGCACTCCCAGACCTTTTTGACAGGGAGAAGCAAGAGACTAGGATTTGAGTCAAACCTCATTTTCTTGCATGGCAGTGCAGGACACTATAATTAAGCTTCCAAGTTCACACAAACCATTTAATCACACTTTCTAGTTCAAGTATTCTGGGAATATTTTGGATTGTTTGCTGTTGTTCAGGCTCAGACTGTTACTTTTATAACTGATGTAGACATCTGGAGAAATTACATTTATAGAATTTGTTTCAGAAACGTCATATGAGCAAAATTGCACAAAGTAGTGTGAATTTTGTACATTAAAGGTGCTTGGTTTCCTTTCCTTTCATTTGCGTTGGCAGACATCAGAGTAGCAAATGTAACTGCATAGCAAAGCTCTTGTCTGTTGTGTAGGAGTGGAGAAGAAATCTTTAGGGCAATGGACCTTACACCACTCCATTCTATTCTCCAAATTCAGCTATAGAAGAGCTGAACCAGCCATCAGTGTGATTCATTGTAACATTAAATTCTATTTTCTCTAAATGTCTTTTAATAATTACCTTTAGCATTTTAAAAGTTTGCTAATTTCCTTCTTTATTAGCCAATAAATTATCTTTCCACTTTCTGCCTGACAGTAACTTCTAATGTAATTTGTGTATTTTAAAATTTTACATACTTCTAATATTTAACAAGTTTTGGGTTTTGTTTGTTTCAGCAGGTAAGCTTTGGCCATCTGTAAATGAAACTGAAATGTAGATACAGATATGGGGACAAATTCTGCTTTCAGTTACATTGGTATAATTTCAAAATAAATAGACTGACATTTAATAGAGTCACTGCATAGGTGTACTGAAAGCAATGTACTTGAAACTTCTGGCTACAGGCATTTGGTTTACAGAAATGGGATTGGGAATATTAAAACTCTCTGTGCACAGTATACCCTCTGCTGGCTAAACTGCACAGTATTATTAATACAGCACTTCCTCTGGATTTTAAAAAAGTAATCTTACATTCTTTAGGTAAGCAAAATTCACAGTAAAATCAATGACAGTTTTGAAAGCATATGCATTGCAGAATAATTCATAATAGTATTTTCTAAATAGCTTTTTTAAAAAATAAAAGCAAATATTTTTATAATCTTTTGTTTAATTTATTAAAAGTTCATGCAGGTCTCATTTTGATACATTTTAACAAATACATCCTGACAGTTTTAAAACAACTGATGAACATATTTTAATTTTCAGAATTGTTTTAAAATTCTTTACATAAAGTTAGAATTTAATTCAATAGTCACTTTGTGTAGTACACTTCAGTTAATTTAAAATGAGTTTTTATATGTGCTTATAAAAAAGAAAAGTAAATAACTGATTTTTGTTACATATCACCCTTCCTTTACAAATATTGTTTTTGTTAATATTGCCATTTCTACAATAGTAATGTCTCCCTCTTCAAGTTGCAGAATATTAAAGAAAACTTAGCGCCCAACCCTAAAGTCCTTAAAGCACATAAAACTCCCAAAAAATTCAGTTGATGTTTTGCTTGCGTAAGAACTTCTGGATTAGGCCTTGCTTCTGCAAACCCTTAAGTACATACCCAACTTTATTTACTAAAATAGTGAGTAAAGCTAAGTATGTTTTTTAAAAGGGTTTGCAGGCTCTCCACCTATGTGATGAAATTGAAAAGAATGGAAAATAATTAGGATACGTTTTAAAATAGGATACAAAGAAAATAGGACAAGAAGCAAAGAGTTTACAGCGCAGGAAGGGCAGTTTAGGTTGGACATTAGGAAAAACTTCCTGTCAGGGTGGTTAATCACTGCCTAGGGAGACTGTGGACTCTCCATGGAATTTTTAAGAATAGGTTAGACAAAAACCTTTTAGGAGTGGTCTAGTTATTACATACTCTTGCCTTGAGTGCAGGGTACTGGACTAGAGGACCTCTCAATATCCCTTCCAGTACTACACTTTTATGAGTCTTCTGGCATCCTCCAGTGGACAGAGTGTAGAAATGGGAGTGAATAGGCTTAAGTGGGCTGTAGTTCATGAAAGCTTATGCTCTAATAAATTTGTTAGTCTCTAAGGTGCCACAAGTACTCCTGTTCTTTCTTTAGGCTTAAGTACTGCTCCTGAGCGCCACAACTATAGCAAGTCATTTAATTGCCATACACCTCAGTTTTGCAAGATGATAACGCTAGCCTACCTTTCCAAAGGGCCGTGGGGAGGGGAAGTGCTGTACAATTAAATATTAAAAAGCAACAGAAGGTCCTGTGGCACCTTTGAGACTAACAGAAGTATTGGGAGCATAAGCTTTCGTGAAGAAGTGAGGTTCTTACCCACAAAAGCTTATGCTCCCAATACTTCTGTTAGTCTCAAAGGTGCCACAGGACCCTCTGTTGCTTTTTTACAGATTCAGACTAACACGGCTACCCCTCTGATAATTAAATATTACTGACTCAAAAACTACAGTGTGGTCAGATTGCAAGGCC